TGAGGGGAAGTTTCAGACCTCGAGTTGCAATCCTGAGAGACTCAGTGGCCAAAATAGGCAAGGGTACAGGATGCAGCAAAAGAAGACGGAAAAAATACACAGTCACGGAACTCAAAAAGAATCAGTTGACAATCAGACATTTAGCATGTATTCCAGAATCCGTGGCTTTGAAGGAATACATCCTGGATGCTCTAAAGGGCTTGGTGCAAACAAGGCTGCAGGCAGGACTTGGCAGAAAACCGACTGCCACAGCTGAGCAGCCGGAAGCACTCCCTTGTCCGTGGCAGCCACGTGGGAGTCAGCTCCCTGCCAACCAGCTGGAGGGGATCCATTTCTGTGCCCATTGCAGACTAAGGCGATTTAACAAAACAATATCATTAAGATCACACAAAAGTAAAAATATGCTAATAGGTAACTGAACTAACGTCGCAGCAGTACAAACGAGGGGTACCCCAAAAACTGAGCAAAGCTCCGCTGGACAGAGCTTTCATAGTACGCATTTTCCCGCTGAACGAGCATCAGGCAATTTGCTCTGAGTTAGTGCACCCAGTGGTGTCCCCTGGGAAGGTGCTCTCTGATCACAGTGAATGTTTTCATGAAAGTAGTTTCACTCCAACCTCATTTTCTGTGATAGCCAATTTAAGAGAAGAGCATGCAGCTGTGAAATTTTGTTTCCTGCTCAGGAAAAATGCCACAGAAAACTGTTGTGATGTTGAACACAGCTTACAAGGATAGCATTATGGGAAAAAAACTCTAGTGTTCGAGTGCCTTCTCGTTTCAAAAAAAGGTGAAATGTCAGTTGATGACAAACCTCATTCTGGACGTCTGTCAACATCCCAAACAGACAAAAATGTCAACCAAATGCATGCACTTGTGCGTGAAGACCGACAATGGACCATCAAAGAGATGGGGAATTATCTCACCTATCTTGGAGCTCAGTTCAGCAAATTTTAATGGACGATTTGGGAATGTGAGGAGTCCCTGTGAAACGTGTGCCTTGGGTCCTGACTGACCAGGAGAAAGAGCATCCTGTGGAAACATGCTGTGCTTTGAAAGAACAGCTCCGAAGCAACCCAGGCTTTTTTCCAAGGTCATTACCAGTGTCAAGCATGGTGCTATTGTTACGACCCCAGAAGCAAACGTTAATCAAGCCAGTGGAAGACACCATCGTCACCTCACCCCAAAGAAAGCTCATCAAGTGAAATCAAAGCTCAAGATGATGCTCATTTGTTTTTATTTTTGTTTTTTACATGAGGGGAATAGAGCATTTGGAGTGTGTTCCACCAGGTCAGACTTCATCAAGCTTTCTATTTAGAGGTTCTGAGAAGATTGCGTAACAGTGTGCGACAAAGACGGGACTACAACAATACACCTGCTCACACAGTCATCTCAGTCCACCAGTTTTGGACAAAAACAGCATGCCTCTCTTGCTTCACATACCTTACTCCCCTGACCTCACTCCATGCGACTTCTTTTTTTGTTTCCGAGAATGTAGAGGGACATAAAAGGACAGCGATTTGACTAAATAGAAGAGGTGAAGAAAAAAATGAGGGAGGTGCTATCAGCCATCTAAGCAGATGAGTTTGAAAA